CAAAGCCCACTACAAATATTCCTACTAGTCAATATCCTAAAGTGTGTACCATTCCTTGCCTTATCTTTCCCACAGAAAACTCAATAAAGTCTCTGGTCTAAACTTTGCCTTTACCACCTGTTTTAAACCTGGGACTTCCCCCTGTAAACTTGCATGGCATGAAGTGGCATACCCTATCTGGGACTGTGAATATAATAAACTTTTTCCCTTTATACCTTGTTCTTATTTTATCATGTGGCCATACCATATCCAATATGTACATTCTTAGAACAAGAATTTAGTATAAGTCTTTTTAAATATGCCACAGGGAAGTCTATTTGTTTGTTTCAATTATTTGTACAAATAGAATTTTCAAGCAGTTCCAGGTTGGATCATGGACAAACTACATGCTTTGGTGGTGTCCAGTCTCTTTCTAGGACATTTAAAAATATTTTTCACATGAAAACAAAAATGCTTAATATTAAAAATAATATGGGATTCATAAATTGATGAGAGATTTCAAGAAAAAATTACGAAAGACTAATGGATGCAAATGTCAAAATTTGCCATAATCTAAAATATGCCATCAAGTACTTGTGAAAAAAGTATAGTCAAACTTACTGTTGAACCTCTGAAGAAGGTTACATTTGACATACATAGTAGGTATTTTTGTTCTTTAAATTTTATTTCCAGAAATATCAGTCTTTTGTGAACTATGAAAACTGTACGTATCTACATATCTATGTCTGTATTATATTTTATCATATATAATTATATACATATAAGTATTGCACAAAAATTACATTATTGCATAATATAATGCATATAAAATATTAAAAGCTATATACCTTATCAGTCTTGATCACAGAAATACTCACTACTCATGTGTAGCTAATAAAGAAAAATGAAATTAAAAAATACCCAATACTTCATATCTAGTCATCTATTACTGAATACTTTTTCTCCTTGGATGTGGCCCCATCCTCCATTCTCATAAAGTTATTAATTTCTCTCTCTTTTTTCAATTTCCATCAAAATCAGACACACTATTTAATCCCCACAATTTTCTGTCACTACCATAGTTTTTGTAGGTTGTTCCTTTTTCTTCACTTCTGTTTATTAGATAGTAATCTCTTCTACAGTTTAAACAATTTCGAGTATAGATTAGAGAAGAAAAACCTAAGAGTATGTTTATTACAGAAAGAGATGACACTCCATTCAGGTAACAAGGCAGTGATCTGTGATGCTGCTACTAGCCAAAATAGTAGTTACACTGTGGGATATGCAGCTACTAATAAAATTTAGTTTAGTGATTCTTCTCCCTTATCATATAGTATTATGGTATACTACCATTAGGCATTGGAAAGGTTGTTCTAAATCTAAGGAAGCCTACTTATGCACAGCCAGAGTCAGAGATACAAGTAACAGAAATGGCCAAGCACAACCAAGACAGTGAATAAAGCAAATTTTTAGACAAACTTAAAAATATCTTATCTATGAAGATTACTATATAGATACAGAACTGATGAGTTTATACAAGCAATGACAACCCTGGAAGTAGCAATGTATAGTAGATGAAAGAAGACATCTTAAAGTTTTGAAGTTATATAGAGACTACAATAACTCTAAGAGCTTTGTACATGAAGAATTGTGCTTCTAATAAGCAAGTCTTAATCCATTTTAGATTTGTGAATGGATAAGTAAATAATAATGAAAATAACAAAGAGTAAATTTCAAATGTATCACCACAAAAATTATAAGGCAATATGTCAAGATCATTGTACTGTCATGTGTAACTAATAAAAAAAATAAAAAAGAAATAGGAAAAATATTATAAGGCAGTGATCAATATGGTAATTGAATTAATTTTATCATTCCATATATATTACTATATGTGCTCTCTCTCTCTCTCTCTCTCTCTATATATATATATATATCCATGTTTAATCCACAAATGTAATAGATTTATGATTTTTCAGTTGAAACCAATACTAATTTAAGAAAAGACATTTTAAAGAGACAAGAAAATCAATATTCAACAATTAGAATAAAATATATATTCAGGAGGATTATAAATTTAAGACTAATTGCATATATATATATATGCAAATAATATGAAGAACATTTTGAAATATCTGTATATCTATAAGAAATTAATGTATCTTCTATAGAATCAAAGATTAATAGTAAAATAATGAGGCACCACTGTTCAACATATAAATTCCTAAAAGTTTGTGAATTATTATATTCAAATACTGGTGACAGTTGAGGGTTCTACCATACCCCAGAAAGGCTTCGACTTGGTGATATCCCTTATAGAAAAGGAAAAATCAACTTGAAAGGGAGGCAGTGTGGGGTTCCTGAGTTCTCAACCAGCCTGAGCCATATAGCGCGACCTCCTCTCAAAAGAAAAGAAAAGGAAAAATCAGATGTTGGTGTAAGGGAATAGTTTCAACAGAAAGGGCTTGTAGTCAGGGGGCAGGGCCAAAGGACTTGAGGGGCGGGGCAGACAATGAAGAATGTGGGGCCTCCTCTGTGACGTTTGAGACTGTGTCAAAGGCTCCAAGTGCATCTAGGGATTAGGCAGTATTGGCCAGTCACAGCAATGCTATGACTGGGAAGCCTCTACAAGAGTCTCTTTTAGGGGCTCTGGGAGGTTTTATCTATGGGGATCCTAAGTAGCAGGATCTTGCGATGCAGAGAACCAGGTACCATAGATCTGCAGCAGTCTGAAGCCACAGCGGGTCCCAGTTACATATCTAGCAGTCGGAAGCGTAAGCAGAGTGGTGGGTATTGTTCAGGTTTAAAATCTGACACCAAGAAGTTTCAGGACCAGGGAGAAAATCTACAGCAAGTCTTCAGCACCAACCACAGAAAAAAAGTTAAGATTACATCCAAGTATGCTTACCAAAATTTATTTTTGAATGGAGAAAACAGTGACATCAAAATCCGTGCTCTGGGGAAAATATGGTGTTTACACAAAATATTTTTATATCAATCAGACTACTTTGCTGATATGTTTAGAAGTTCTTGGGAAGAATTGCACAAAGATATTATTGAACTGGATATTCGTGACCAGAATATAGATATCCAATCTTTGCACTTTGTACTAGGTTCATTGTATAGGGATGAGTATTTCTTAATAGAGCCCCTTCAAGTTCCAGGTGTTTTGGCAACATCATATCTGCTTCAGGTAGAGGACTTAATTCAGCAATGTAGTGAAACCATGAAAGACACAATTAATGTGAAAACTGTATGTAGTTATTATGCAGCAGCAGAAACCTATGGGTTAGATTCTGTAAAGACAGGGTGCTTTGAATGGCTTCTTCACAATTTGATGACACACCCAAGTGCTGAGCTCTACAAAGAAATAGGCATAGAGCTTATGGATTTGCTCATCTCTTCCTCTAATTTACTAGTAATACAAAAGGAAATGGATATATACACAACACTTAAAGAGTGGATGTTTCTTCATCTTAACCCATCTTGGAAAGGCTCAATGAAACAGCTTCTAATTAATACTAATAATTGGCTTTCTAGACACAGGGAATGTGGTGGCTATAACACTTTTCTTGACACAGAAGAAGGAATATCATTTAAACCAGTGTTTAAAAAATTGAGGTTTCAGCATATCATCTGTGACCTGGCCTCAACAAAAGTAATTGAACAAGATGGTCTAATACCTTCAGAGTGGTTGTCATCTGTTTACAAACAACAATGGCTTACCTTGCTTAAGGCACAACAATACAGGGAGATCGGGCCTCGAGACATCAATGAAACAGAACTTGAAGGATACAGCATGAGGTGTGGTAAAAGGATTATCAAAGATGGTAAATATTCCTGGAAGTGGTCAGGTTACAATTTTGGCTTTCCCTTACATGTTATTTTTGACAGCCATTATATAATTTTCAAGCAAAATACTTTCAGTCAGCTATGTGAAGATTCTGCCTGCTTACAACCTCTACGAAATATTGCGTTCAGATTAACTTTGGTATATTTTGATGCTAGTGGAAAATTAAATTTCAGCAAAACAACAGGCTATAAAATACTTACTTTTTCAAAAGATGAGGAACAAGTGGTGATGAAGTTGGATAGCATAGTTCTGAACTTCCCTTTATATATATTCTGCAACTTCCTATTTATATCATTAGAAAATACAGAAAACTGATGATCTTATCAATGAGATCATATTAACATTTTGAAAAATTTCCATGCTTCATTTAATTTAATTTAATTGCTTTACTGTTAATACAATTTATATGGTCAGTAAAACAAATGAAATATTCTCAAAAATACAGTAATATCACAAATGACTATATTTCATCTTCATTTTATTTCCATGCATCTGTGGATTAAAAGATTTAATTCCAAGAAAATACTTATCAAACCCAAGGATATATGTGGTTAGCACCTGTTGGTTTCATTTTCTATCTACAACAAAGCTCCAAATAGAAATAAAAATCTATATTTGCAAACAATCTAAACTAAATTAGCTGGTTAAGTTAATTTTACCCTAACTAAGGTGGAGACAAAATAAAGAATTCTCTCCTTTGCTGAACTTTTGTGAAAATGTGAATTTATTCACAGTAATATTCCAGAAGGGAGTCAATTATCAGGTAAAACCTGAGAGTAGCCACTCTGTTTCACACTATATAATATAGTGTTTTAAATAATTAAACAATGTCAGATTTAACATTATGTACTACAAAACTTATTGCTATTTTACAATTAGTCTGCCCCGTTGCCCATTTTTTCTATGGTTTAGTAAACTTGAAAGGCTGATTATAAATATATAAATATACATATATATGTAAATACATATGTCCTATAATTACATATTGCTTTAATTTATATAACAACTTCATAAATACATGCAAAAATATACATGGGTATACACATATACATTTATACATACATATGTATATTAATATGATTGTGAAAATGAGAGAATTTTTGAAATGATTAAACAAATACATACTTTAAATGAAAATGACTTTCAATAATAGCAGTTTCTATGAATATCAAGATATGAATAATTTAAAGTGTCCTGTTATTTTCTCTATTTGTGCTTAATTTGGTTTTCTTCTCTTTTTAATTTATTTTAATTGACAAATAATTGTGTGTGTGTGTATATATATATATATATATATATATATATATATATATATATATATATATATATATATATATATATATGGTACAATGTGAGCTCTATGAATGCAATGTAAAAAGATTCTATCAAGATAATTAATATTTATCACCTCACCAACTTACAATATATTGTAGCAAGGACATTAAATATTTATTCTTCCAGAAATTTTAAATATGCATGTTTTAGCCAGAATGTGTGCTAAAAGACCCAACAAGAACAATTTTAAAGAGGCAAAACTTTTTTGGGGGCTCAAGGTTTCAGAGGTCAATTGACAGCTGCTTCCATTCCCTTGAACTTGAGGTGAGGCAGAACATCATGTTAGAAGAGTGTGATGGAGAGAAGAGGCTGAAGATATCACACCAGGAAGCACAGAGAAAGTTCCCCTCAAGGACAAAATATAAGCCCCAAAGGCACATCCCAAATGACCCACCTCCTCAGGCCACATGCTATTTGCTTTCAATTACCATTCAGTTAATCCCTATTAGGGGATTAATCCCCGGATTAGGTTAAGGCTCTTATAACACAACCATTTTTCTTCTAAATCTTACTTCATTGTCTCACAGTTTTGAGTTTTGGGGGAATATCACATATCTAAACAACAATATTCCATCTCTGGCTCCCAAAACTGCACACTCATCTCAAAATGTAAAATACATTTAGTCCATTTCCAAGAATTCCCATAGATTTAGCAATTCCAGGATTGCTCAAAAAGTCCGCATCCAAACTCTCCTGTAATGCTCAAGGCAAACTCTCAGTATGAGTTCTTATAAAAATCAAAACAAAGTTACATATATCCAATATATAAAGGCAGAGTAAACATTTCCAATCCACAAGGGAGAAATAAAGATATAGAATGAAGGAATGGGACCAAACCAAGACCAAAATCCCCTAGACAAACAAGTTCTGTAGCTCCACATTTAGCATCTGGGGCACCTGCTATCCTGATGTTTTTTCCAAAGACTCTACCCTATGGCGTTGCTGGTTGCAACCCATATGGCCTCTCTCTTGGCTTGTCTTCACAATTCCTGCAGATTTACTTGGATTACTTCCCATGTTACTGGCATTTATTTTACTTTATTTCTGTTTCTATTTTACTATTATTATTTTTACATGACAGTACAGTATATTTTGAAATATTACCTATACACAGAATAAGTATAACTTGTTCCAATTAGGATCTCATAATTGTGGATGTACTTGGTGTGTAGTTACCTTGGTTGTATATTTAGAGGTGAGGATAGGAAAGAAATGTCTGATTCACTCTACTGTCTTTCATATTACTGTCCCCTCTCCCTTCCCTTCATTCTCCTTTGTCTTGTCCAATGAACTTCTAATATTCTCCTCCCTTGTTATGGGTTAACATCCACATATCAGAGAACATTCTCCATTTTGGATTTTGGGGACTGGCTTATTTCATTTAGCATGATGGTCTCTGGTTCCATGTAATCAGAGAGTTGTGGCAAATGCCATAACTTCATTCTTTTGTATGGCCAAGTAGTATTCTATTTGTGTGTATGTATATACATACATATATTTATATATATATATACACACACACACACACACACATACATGTATGTATATCACATTATTTTTTCCATTCATTTGTTGTAGGACACCTAGGTTTGTTCCATAGCATGGCTATTGTGAAATGAGCTGCTATAAACATTGAAGTGGCTGCATCATTATAGTATGCTAATATTGAACTCTCGGGTTTAAATCAAGGAGTGCGATAACAGGGTCAAATGGTAGTTCCCTTGAAGTTTTCTAAGAAATCTCCATACTGCTTTCTAGAGTGGCAATTTGCAGTCCAACCATCAGTGTACAAGTGAGTGAACCTGTTTCACCACATCCTCCCCCACATTTCGAATTGCTTTTAATCTTGATAATTGTCATTTTGACTGGAGTGAGAATCTCATTGTAATTTTGATTTGCATTATTCTAATAACTAGAGATGTTGAACGTTTTTCATATATTTGTGGACTATTTGTATTTCTTCTGTGAAGTGCCTATTCAGTTCCTTAGCCTGTTTATTGACTGGGTAATTTGTTTCTTTCATGTTAATTTTTTTTAGTTCCTTGTATATCCTGGAGATTAATTCTCTGTCTGAAGTCATCACATCATTAACATCACATTCTTGATTGCTTCCTTTGCTGAGAAGAAGATTTTAAATTATATACCATCTTATTGATTCTTGATTTTATTTTTTGCACATTATGTGGCTATAGAGGAAGTTGGTTCCTAAGCTGACATGGTGGAGAGTTCAGCTTACTTTTTCCTTCTAGTAGGTACAGAGTCTCTGGTCTAATGCCTAATTCCTTGATTCAATTTTGAGTTTTGTGCAGTGAGAGATAGAGGTTCAATTTCATTCTACTACATATGAATTTCCAGGTTTTCCCAGCACCATTTGTTGAAGAGGCTACCTTTTATCCAATGTATATTTATGGTGCCTTTGTCTAGTATGAGAAGATTGTATTTATGTGAGTTTGACTCTTTGTCTTCTAATCTCTTCCGTTGGTTTTCATGTCTGTTTTGTGCCAATATCATGCCATTTTTTTTACTGTAGCTCTGTAATATAACTTAAGGCATGGCATTGTGATGCCTCACATATCCGTTTTCTTGCTAAGTATATTGCTGTGGCTATTCTGGGCCTCTTCTTTTCCCAAATGAATTTAATTACTGTTTTTTTTCTATTTCTATGAAAAATGTCATTGAAATTTTAATAGGAATTGCATTAAATCTGTTTAGCGCTTTTGGTAGGGTGGACTTTTTGACAATATCGATTTTTCTTATCCATGAACATGGGAGATCTTTTCATATTATAAGGTCTTCCTTAATTTCTTTCTTTGGTATTCTGTATTTTTCATTGTAGAGGTGTTTCACCTCTTTTATTAGATTGGTTCTCAAATATTTAATTTTTTGTGGCTATTGTGAATGGGATAGTTTTTCTGATTTCTCTTTCAGCTGATTTGTCATTGATGTATAGGATTGCAACTGATTTATGGATGTTAATTTTATATCCTGCTAGATTCCTCAATTTATTTATGAGTTCTAGTAACTTACTTGTGAAGTTTTTTGGTCTTCTAAATAGAGACTTATGTCATTAGAAAACAGGGATAGTTTGAACTCATCTTTTCTGATTCATATCCCTTTAATTTCTTTCTTTTGTCTAATTGCTCTGGATAGGGTTTCAAGTTTTATGTTGAATAGAATTGGTGAATAAGGGCATCCCTGTCTTGTTCCAGTTTTTAAAGGGAAGGCTTTTAAATTTTGTCTATTTAGAATAAGGTTGGCCTTGAGTTTAGCATATATAGCTTTTACATTGTTGAGATATATTCCTACTGTCTCTAGTTTTGCTAGTGTTTTGAGCATGAATGGATGCTGGATTTTGTCAAGTGTTTTTTTTTCCTAATTAGATAATCATGTGATTCTTATCTTTAAGTCTATTGATGTGGTGAATTACATTTTTTGATTTCTGTATGTTGAACCAACCTTGCATCTCTGGAATGAACCTCACTTCATCATGCTGCACTATATTTTTGATATGTTTTTGTATGTGAATTGACAGTATTTTATTGATAATTTTTGTATCTATGTTCATTAGGGACATTGGTCTGAAGTTTTCTTTCCTTGATGTGTCTTTGGTTTTGATTTCAGGGTCATACTAGCTTCATAGGATGAGTTTCTTCCTTTTCTATTTCATGGAATAATTTTAGGAGTATTGGTATAAGTTCTTCATTGAAGGTCTTATAGAAATTGGCTGAGAATCCATCAGGTCCTTGGCTTTTCTTTGTTGCTAGCACCTTCAGTTTAATTGCTTCACATTGATTACATTTTCTATGTCCCCATGATTTATTTTGTGTAGGTCATATATCGCTAGAAACTTTTTAATACCTTCAAGATTTTCTATTTTATTTAAGTTTAGATTTTCTAAGTAGCTTCTGATTATTATTTGTATTTCAGTGGTGTCTATGGTGATATTTCTTTTTTTTCATCACAAATTTTAGTAATTTGGGTTATCTTATTTTCTTCATTAGTGAGGCTAAGTGTTTATAAATTATGTATATTTTTTCAAAGACCCAACTATTTGTTTTTTTTTAATTTTTCGAATTTTGTTATTGTTTCAATTTCATTAATTTCAGCTTTGATTTTAATTATTTCCTGTCTTCTACACTTGTTTGTTGATTTGTTCTTCTTTTTCTAGGACTTTGATGTAAATTTAGGTTATTTAATTTGTTACTTTCTATTCTTTTATATATGTGCTCAATGCAATGAACTTTTCTCTTAGAACTGCCTTCATACTGTCCCAGCAATTTTAATAAATTATGCTGCTATTCTCATTTAACCCTAAGTATTTTTTAACTTTATCCCTGATTCCTTCAGCTATCCTTTGGTCATTCAATAGT